GCACCGAGAGCCGTAGCCGTCGTTTTCCTCCAGCGTTACGACGAGTGTGGGTTCCAGGCTCGAGCTGGCTCCTGGGTAAAGGCAGTTCTGGTTGGAGTTGCAGCTGGTGTTTTGACCCAGGTAGTAGTAGCTTTCTGGCTGATACGGCTGCTGGCAGCTGTGGTACATCACTGAATGATGGTGGCCGCCGCCGCTCTTCTCCGGCGCCCAGTGGTGGCGACGGCCGCACAGCATCACCATCACGGTCACCGTGACCAGCAGCAGGAGGGCGCCGCCTCCCGCCAACACATAGCACCAGAAGGCAGGGAGCGGCCGCGCCACCGCCGTGTCTACGGTGGGCTTCGTTCCAGATATGGCACCCCCTGAAGGGCAGGAGGAAACGTTACTGGCGGGCTCGGTAGAGGAGCGAGGCAGGCATGCAGGCTGCAGTGACGCAATAAAAGCATCCAAATAAACCGTTTATTCAGCTGTGACTGGCAGGCCTGTCAAGTTTTTGATTTCTCCACATGCTTCAGTGCAGAACTGGGAAGACAAACCATCTTTTATTAACCCTAAAGGTGCTGAATTACAGACAGGGCTTGAATTATTAGCAGTTCTGGCTCGCACACTACCGATAGTAGTTACTACCTTCTATTTGAAATTAAATTTCTACATCCTCAAAGGTTTTTCTGATCATACTTGAAAATCAAATCAATGACTAAAGACAATATGAACTGTGTGCTTTAATGAGTTGTTGTCCGGTCTGGTTGTGTTAAATGTCGATGCTCATATTTAGATGTAAAAGTGTTTATAAAAAAATTAAAAATCAACACAGACAGTTGAGTTGTTTTAATGTTTGTCAGTCAAAGTGTGTTATAGAGCAACTTTTCTCATTTGTGTTTAATTTTTACATTTAAATTTCGGCCGTAACTAAAACTGATTTTGTTCCACAAATTGAATTTWAATTTTTTTTAAGCAGTTAGAATCCGAAGTTGGACCGAGTCTTTGTTTTGCAAATCTCAATTAAGTCTCAAGTCTTTATTCACAAGTCAAAGTCAAGTCTCAAGCAAAGACAGACAAGTCCCAAGTCTGTTTGAATCTTTTTTTTAAACAATGCTACAGTTATATATTAAATGTAAATAAGTGTGCTAGTGTTGTAGTACTTGGAACCAGTACTTGGAACCAGTACTTGGAACCAGTCTTGGTCTTAAGACTGGTCTTTTTGATGGTTTTGGTTTTGTCTCGGACTCGACAGCATTTGTACTCGGTCTTGTCTCGGTCTCGGACATTGAGGACTTTGAAGACTTTGACCTTTATTTCAAGACGTGGAAATATGGCTAAATAGCCAGATTATTATCCAATTTATTTGTTAACATTCTTGCTTTCGTTTGATTTAAAATGTTGCTACTGATTCAAATCCAAACCTGACTCATTGCTATTTATGTTTCTTTGTTACAGGCTGTCGCCCATTCCCAACCCCTTCACTCACGTCCAAGTCATGTGACTCAAACCTCCACCTCTGCTTGGAATAATGATAATTTATTTAGGTGGCTAGCTAATATTTAAGTTGCAACCTAAATACATAGGTGGCTAGCTAAACATTTAGGTTAAATATTTAGGTAGCTAGCTAAATATTTAAGTTAAATATTTAGGTAGCTAGCTAAATATTTAACTTGCTAGCTAAATATGTAAATTGTTAGCTAAATATTTAAGTTAAATATTTAGGTGGCTAGTTAAATATTTGACTTGCTAGCTAAATATTTAGGTTGCAACCTAAATATTTATGTAGCTAGCTAAATATTTAAGTTGCAACCTAAATATTTATGTAGCTAGCTAAATATTTAAGTTGCAAGCTAAATATTTAGCTTGTTAACTAAATATTTAATTTGTAAGTTAAATATTTAGTTTATAAACTATGACATTTACAAATGTATAAATCATATGGTGTAAAACTGACATTGAAAAAATAAATCTGTTCTTTTTTTTCTTATGGAAGGCTAAATAAAACAAAAATATTGGTGGTAATTTTTGACTGTGTAACTTTACCAATGGCAGCCCATATGCAATTAATGCTGATGTGAAGCTGAAGTGCTGATGTTGTACTTGGGGCTTCACAGCTACAAATAATTACTGTNTATATATATATATATATATATATGAAGTTGCAAGAAAATACAAAGGGGGAAATGCTCCTGGTTGGATCAGCTCACTTGCATCAAATCTTTTTGCTGCGAGTGCTTTATTCGCTGTCTGCTGCAGGTACAACACTTACTACTCATACATATTTTTTTTACAACCAAACCAAACAAAAACAATATTTCTTTAATGAAACTATGTTTTGGTACATAAATGCCTAATATCACAGCATGTAAACTTGACAGACCTGCCAACAGTTCCTCTCTAACCAAACATCATAAAAAAATCAGGCATAAACAAAGCCTTAGCTTTTTAAACTTAGCTGCGTCGTCCAATTTTTTAAACAAAGAATAACCTAATTGATTTCTTTAACCTTCATGCTGATTCCCATTTGTTTAATTCTTTTGCCTGAAGCAAATGTCACAAGCATTAGCTGCAGATTGACACGCAAAGGCACATGCCATGCGCTCAGACTCGACCAGAGAATGCAAATAACCGGGTATAAAGTGACTGTCTGACCCAATCAAAAGGTGGAGGCTGTTTCTTTCTTTCTTTTTATCAAAGAGGAAAGATCACACCAAAGTCAGGTGGAGAGAGAGAGAGAGAGAGAGAGAAATAACAGGGTTGGAGAAAGGATAAGAGTGAAGGTATTACTGGAGGAGAGAATAGAGTAAAACAGAGAAAAGTAAACTGATAGAGGGTGGCGGGGTGGGGGGAAGCGGAGGGAAAGAGCTAATCCCACCATGATATCTTTAATCCTGCATTAAAGGGTTCGACTGAAACTTCAATACTCTGTCAACTCGCTATGAGAGAAACCTGCTGCGCGAGAGGAGCCGCTCAAGAGACTGACGGAGGGAAAAAAAAGGAGCGAAAGAAAGAAACAAAGACAGAAATAATGAATAGAAAGAAGGGAACAAAAGAACCTTAACGAGCACCTAACTAGGAATAAGAAAGGAGAGAGTAATACAGAGAGAAAAAAAAGAGGGAGACAGAATCTCGAGGAAACCAGTGGACCTAATTTATTCTTTTTTTCACAGGGTTCAGACGCTTTTTAAGGCTTTAAAATTGGCTTTGATTGTAAAGCTGCTCTGAGTGCAGCCGGCTCGCAGAGCCTTCCCACCAGTGGACAGAGGGAGGATTTCCAGGGATGGAAAATATAAAAAAAAACACCAATAATTTGCTTTAATTTTTAATTAAAGGGAAATAAAAGTTACTTAAAAGCTCCTTTATTAAAGCCTGAAATTTGAAGGAAGCTTACAGCTTTTTTAAAAATACTTTTTGAATAAAAGCTCTCACTTCACCCATCAGCAATCTTCCTTTAAAGTATGTAAACGAGAGGAAACTTAAAGTAGAAGTCACTACAGTCGTAGGAATTAGGCTCTTTTGTCAGTGTGTGTGCATTAAATCTGTCAGCCTGCATCCTCCTTATATAGGCCTGTTTTTAAAACAGAAATCTCAAAGAGGACTCTAAAACTCTCACAAAAATATATATTTTAGAGACTACACTGCTGTTGAACAGGGAGTCATATGTTAGCTGTTCACGGATAATAAAAAAAMCCCAGCAAGGATTAGCAGAAACACCTGGAGCATGACGCAGCTGACATCAGTTGTCTCTTGGCTTTTGGCTGTTTTAGGGAATGGTATGTATGTTTTTGTTAAACTCAAGTAAAAAAAAAGTAAGTTTGTCTAAAATGTTTTACCAAAACATTTTATAAACCACAGAACAAATTTTACTGAAACTTCCAGGAAGTAAATATTGGATGTATGGCAAGAGATAAGGTTTACAACAGTCAACCAAACTTAAAAACCTAAACTATTTATAACGTTGTTTGTTAGTCAAAATTTTCATGAACATAATGGATTTTAATCAGTGTTGTATAAAGTACCACAAAGTGATACTTGAGTAAAAGTACACGTATCTTACCAAAAACTGACTTTGGTAAAAGTTAAAG